GAATTACCAAGTAAAATAAAATAAAACCCGCAAGTCTAAGCCTAGTACAGTAATAAAACTGAGTACAGATAAAATCTCACCCTCAGAGATGTTTCAATAAGTTTCTTTCACAGACTGGATGCCTTCGTAGTCCGGGCATGATCCTTTCCCCTGGTACAGCCCTTGTTCCAGCTCAGGTGGTAGCTAGGGGATTTCTCATGATTGCAGCCTCCTTTGTTCTGTTCCACCCACTTATATATCTTTTGCATAAGGTGGGAATCCTTTGTCTCTCTGGGTCCGTTCCCCTCCCCCACCCGAAATGGAAAAGCACCAGATTAAAGATGGATTCCAGTTCAGGTGACATGATCACGTCACTGTAAGACTTCATTACCCATTTGCCAGCACACACGTATACAGGAAGACTTACAAGTAAAACAGAGCCATCTGCAGTCAATTGTCCTGGCTAATGGGAGCCATCCAGATTCCAAACCACCATTAATGGCCCACACTTTGCATAACTACAATAGGACCTCAGAGTTATATTTCATATTTCTAGTTTCAGATACAAGAGTGATACATTTATACAAATAGGATGCCCACACTCAGTAAATTATAAGCTTTGTAATGATCTCTTACAAGAGACCTTTTGCATGAAGCATATTCCAGTTACACTATATTGACACTCATTAGCATATTTTCATGAAATCATATAGAGTGCAACGTCACACAGTCCATTTCCTATTCTAAGTAGAGGGAGGTGCCGTGGTGTCTGTGAGTAAATGTTGAATTTCTAATGATGACAACAGAAGATCAAAGTTGCAGCTTTGAAAATCTTAAGTGAGCTTTAGAAGCTTAAGTATCAAAAGAGATGTCAGAAGTCTTGAACAGGGATTTCTGCTCACCAGGTATATTCTGAGACCTATACCAACCCCATGTTAAAAGGCTAGTGCAGCAGCAGCAGAAGTAGGGATGTGTCCCATCAGAGTAAAGAGATTCCAAGATTTGGGGATGGGGATGTGAGGCTACTTTGTCTGCTCCCTCTCCAAAGAGGCAAGATGGGGCAAGAGAAAGAGAGATGAACCCTTGTGAATCAAACTGATTGGATGAAACCAGGTGAGACAAAGGTGGTGGGTTTCACTTTCGCACCAACGTAAGACAGTACCCCAGGAAACAACTGTTGTTTGGGTGTGAATGGTAGAAGCAGGCATTTACTAGTCTGCTTCACACAGCAGCATGGTAAACCTTTTCCTTTCAAATGAAGTGAACTATTTTAAACTATAAGCAGTGTTGCTACAGTGCCTCCATTGGGAACTTGAGACCATTAAAGTTATGTAGCAAGAGGCTGAGATGTCATCTCATCATCATTCATTTTGTCTTTTCAGATTGACTGTAGGTAATGAAATCTCTGGTGGCATGTTTACATGATCAGACGTTCTTTCTCCTTTTTTCTCAGGAAAGGCTGATGGCAGAAAGGAGAATTCCTATCCTGCAGAGTCAGCTGGAAGAGTACAAGAGCATTTTTTGTCAGCTGCAGACTCAGAAATTGAAATTGCAGACGGAGGTACCATACAACTAACTGGAAAGTCTAGTGACTCTCATTGATTCAGGCTAGTGTAATTGCAACAAATCAACACCTAACATTGAACAACGCAGCATGGCTGATATTTAATGGGGTTTTGAACAGGGTGAAAACATTATCTAATCCCTACAAATAAGCCGGGTGCCTGAAAAGGATGTTTTTATTTGAACGTTACCTATCTCAGCTTCCTCCTTCTGTCTAACAGGCCCAGTATCATGGGATGAAGATTTATGTAGTTAGTTTCAGAGGGTCAGTCATGACTGTGTGATAGCTGCTTAGTAGGCTAAGTAGAAGTGGTTGGAGGCCTTAGTCCAGTTCGTGGTGGAACAAAATGCCCAGATCACAACTGGATTGCTGATGGACAGTCTCAGCAGACAGGTCAAGGACTGAAAAGGTCCAGGGACTGAGTCTCCCCTTCTCCCAATCCAGTATGAACTGCATTGGCACTGTGGGATAAAATCAGAGGTCTTCAGAGCTGTAGGTTCAGTGCTTTCTCTGAGCACTAAAGTGCTGGGGTTGATGTGGGAATTACTGGGTGAGATTCTATGGGCTGTGCCATGAGGCAGGTCAGACTCGATGATCACAACAGTCCCTTCTGGCCTTAAAATCTATGAATTTCCTCAAAAAGTGCATGTTAGGTTTCACACAGCAGCCTACACATATCCCTGATAATGATAACAACGAATTAGCACCTCCAGCCACACCCAGGGACCATCAGCAACAACAGTCTCTGTGTCTGTGCAGTGCCAACTCACAGGGCATGAGTTACCAGGACTTTCCCGGCAGCTCCTGCCTGTCCCCAGCCAAGAATTTCATAGTGCGGCTTGTGCCTTCTGCAGCAATCCATTGGGTTCTGTGATCCTGTCAGGCTAGGCTGAAAACTGAACAGCAACTTAAGCCATGAATGTCAGGACCTACATGCCCACCCCTAAGACGGACCTAATTAATGGGTAGTTGTGGGAAATGATTAGCTTAGCACTACAAGTAAGGGCTACTTCGTGCCTGTTCCGGGGATGGCGTGCTGCTCCCGGAGATCTTGGGAAGCACTGCTACTATAGCAGCTTGCTGAGTCTCCACAGCACGGCTGGCCAGCACACGGGGGGGTTATGAAAGTGCCACACCTCTACCTCAGCCTCCTGGGGGTGTCTAACACCCTAGTCAGGAATTCACCTGGGACTCAGGGGATAGCATGGACTGTGACGGTGCCTGAGTTCTGCTCAGATGTACAAGTAGCTGGAGATGACCTGCCTTCAGATGGTTAACCCAAGAAAAGATGAGCATGATCTGGCCTTTACTAGTCACCATTTCAGAACGAAACCTTAGTTTTCAAGGTGACACTTTATATTAAGATTCCATTTATAAAGGGTTAATAAATGACAAATATAGCCGTTACACTCATATTGAGATTATCAGTAAAAGAGGTTATAGGGGGTTATAAGCCATGGTTATAATCAACCTATTGAGCTGGAATTTTCCCAAATAAAACAAATCACTCAGGTTCTTTGGAAACAGCTCTCCCCCTCCTCCTGCCCGTCCTCCTCCCCACGGTCTATAATAATTGAGTAATGAATGATTAAAGCAATATATTAATGATTTATTAACCCTCTACAGCAGTGGTTCTCAACCTATTTACCATTGCGGGCTGCATAAGTAGCTCTGTGTGTGTTGTGGGCAGCATGCACACAATATATACACTGCCTGTCCAGCCACAAAAAAACCCCAGGTTTAGTATTTGTTACATGACAGCAATACAGTTCCAATCGATACAGCACCTTTCATTTCAACACTGGCAAATGTCTGCCAAGAGCATTTTAAGTTAGTAAATAAGTCGAAACATTAACTGTTAAAATTAATTAATTTACTGTGAGGATGGCATGGCTGCACTGCACTGCTGCTGGCGGTGCAGCTGGGCTGAGTGCCCAGAGAGCACGGCTGCCGAGCCTGCCCCCCCAGCCAGAGACTGCAGCCAGGGACTGTATCCCAGCCCCCCCAAAGTGCCCCCCGCCCCTCAGTCAGGGAACGCCCTCCATCATCCAACCCCCCTGGAACTGCCCCCTCCATCATACAGTCCCCCACCCAGGGACTGCCCCCCATGCACCCAGCCCCCTACCTAGGAACAGCTCCCCAGAACTCCCCAGCAACTGCCCCCAGCACCCAGAGCTGAGAGCCTATGAACCAAATGGTAAATCCTGTATATGATGGAAACCACTTCAAGACAGGGGGTGCAGCAGCACCTCCAGCACCCCCAGTTCCAGCACCTATGCCCCTCCTGCCCCTCCCAAGTTATGGCCCTGAGGATGTTACATGGACCACAGCTGTGTGCTGATTGAGACCCACTGCTCTATAGACTAGTTATGAATGAACCCTTCTTATAAAGTGTGACTGTAAAAGAAAGTGCTATAGGAATTATGTAATAAGCTAGACAAATAACAGCAGAAGTAACACTTTGCTGCAATTCCCTATCTTTTTTTTTTTCAAGTGACGCAGCACCATCTTGTGGCCAATTTACATTCCAGTGATGTATTACTAAAATCCCATTTATATGCAGGAGTCACTGCACAGACGGTTACATTATTCTACAAGCCAGAATGTTCTGATATTAACATTTAAAGGAAACTCCCATGTACTGCTTCCTTGGTCACCATTTCACTTGGTGGTGGAGTAGCAATCCCATAAGGATTAGATGCTGCTTGCTCCCTGTATGTGACTCTCCACAAGTGTTTTGTGAGGGTCAGTGGCAGGCTGCAGCTTGTAACGTTAAAGTTTGTCTTTCAATTGCTACACATGTACTGCAGCTAGCTGTAACCTGGTCTGCAGCGCTGCACACTGGGCTCCCATAATGCCCGTGGCACCAGTGATGTCACATTTAGTAACATGGCTGTACTAGTAGCAGTCTCAGAATTACCTTTCCATCTAAGGTGAGCTTTACAGTCAATAATGAGGTATGTAAGTATTGTACTTCCCAACCAACAGCTGGCGAAACTGAGGTAGAAAGAGATTATGGGCCAGATTTTAGCCACCTCCCCATTAGGCAGAACAGGCAGCTCTCTTCTCTAGGCTCCTGTCCAGTCAGCAGCTGTAATCCTGGTGCTGGTGCCTTTGGAGTGCCAAGTCCAGGGGATGTTTAGCAACTTCAACCTACTGGGGCTGGGGCTGGGTGGGATGTAAGGGGGCTAGAGCCAAGCTTCCTCTAAAGAAGAGGTGGTGCAAGAAGAATATAGGCTGACCCTCCAAAAAGGAGCTGTAAGAAGCATCCGTGAGCCTGCTCCTGCCAGAGGAATTCTGACTGTCTGTGGCTTCCATGGGCAGAACGACTCTGGCCATTGCTGTTGGCATAGTGCCTTAATGTGTCTCCCGCTCCTGCAAATGCAGCACTGTGGCCACTAAACCAACACTGAAACTCTGAGCGACTTGCCTGGAAACATACATAACATCTGCAGTGGAGTCACGAATCGAGCTCAGACCTCCTGTCTATGCTGCAGCCCCCAAACCATCCGTCTTCCTCCGATTTTCAAACCTGCTCCCCCTCCTCCCTTTTGTCTGCCAGAGACCAGATTTGCAAAGCCCATCTTCTGACTGTCTATATTAAGGCTGCTCAGGGTAGTGTGGGCTATGATGGGTATATTTATAGAAAAGCCTTGGTCTATGTTTTAATTTATGGAATAGCTGACCATGGCACTGGGTGGGAGCAATAGATGTATTTTTTAAATATGAATTAATAACTAAATGAATGTAATGAAAATGCCAATAGGCTTTAATGATGCAGCATCAGGCCCAGTTTTCAGAGCTTGTGCAAGGGAACCCAAGACCTTTGTGGAAGCTATTCATCTGGCCCACTTAGATGCCCTTTGGGAGACATCTGCATAGTGAGAACTGGAGGGGAATTCTCTGACCTAAATACTTGTTCATAGGAAAATGCAGATGTGTAGAACCCAAAACTGTTTGCAGAAAAGAGTCAGTTTCAACAAAGCTCACAATTCCAAACATTTCTGTGGAAAAGTTTTGGGCTTTATTTAATTTAGACTTTAAAAGGGGTTTTACAAAATCAAAAGCAAACCAAACAGTTTCAGAATTGTTTTGATTTAACCAATCTGATTTTTTTTTTCAGATTATTGGTCCATGAAAATGTTTGAGGTTGCAACTTTTCATCTCACTTCAGTATGGGGAAAAAAATGAAATCTCAAAATCTCATGGGATGGGAAAACCATCCATCTGTAGTCACTAGGCCATCTCACTAGCCATGCATAGTATTGTAGTCAGCTTCCTCTTCAATAATTGTGCCAAAGGATATGACTTATTTTCAGTCATTAGTTTGCTGACATAAAAAAGTATGTCTCGCCATTTAATGATTCCTCTGAAAATGTGTGCCAGTCCCCATCTAGGAAATGCTGTATATCATTGCTTTCAATTTCCTTTATTTCAGACAACCATGCTGGAACAAGCTATTAGGAGCACTCAAGAGAGTTATGATGATGAGGTTCAGCTGTACAATGAGCAGATTGAAGCCCTTAGGAAGGAGATAGAGGATGCTGAAAGGACCTTGGAGAAGTTCACAAGTGACTGTCACCAGCTGGTGATATATCAACAGTCCCTGGAGAATGAGCTGGAGCGGTACAAACGTATCATTGAGAATGAAGACAACCGGTAGGGCTACTTTCTGTATGGTGCATAGAGTGGCCAACTTTCTAATTTGTGAAAAACCTGACATTGAGCACTGGAACCTCCCCCACTTGCTGCGCCTCTTCCCCTGAGGCCCCGTCCCTTGCTCCACCTCTTTCGCTCGATGCTCCGCCCCCTGCTCCTCTTCCTCCCCTCCCCCCGTTGCTCACTGCTCTCTCCACCACGCTCTCCCTGCTAACGAAACAGGGCTCTAGGGGTGCGGGTGACTGAGGCAGGCCGGGCAAGGGAGAGCTGTGCTCCAGGGGTGGAGGTGACTGGGGCAGGATGGGGAAGAGGGAGCTGCGCTCCAGGGGTGGGGGTGACTGGGGCAGAGTGGGGAAGGAAGAGCCATGCTCTAGTGATGGAGGGGTGACTGGGGCAGGACGGGGAAGGGAGAGGCATGCTCCGAGGCTGGAGGGTGAGTGGGGCAGGTTGGGGAGTGAGAGCCACGCTCGGGGCAGGATGGGGGAGCCACCGGTACCTCTCTCTGCTGGAGCCATTCCTGAGTGCTCCTCCAGGCTCCAGCAGCAGCTGCTGCTCTTCCCACTCCCTGGTGGCAGAGGCTGGTGGTCAGCAGCGCTGACAGGACACTGCCAGGTTCCCTTTTTGACCAGACTTTCTGGTAAAAAAAAACCTGGCAACCCTAATGGTGCATCCCTGGTGTCAGTGACAGTGCAGGAGCCTAGTATTTGAAAATGGGAATGTGTTTAATCCAGCTAAAGCCTATGTGAACTTTACTACCCATGGGGTTCTCAAAGCAGGAACCTGAGGACAGTGGTCCTCATCCAAAGCCCACTGAAGCCAATGCAGAGAGACAGCTCAGGGCCAGTGTGAAGAGAGTATGAGGTTCTCATCCAGCCTGTCAGTCTAGTCACCATTTGCTTGCTGTCTTTTAATTTCTGTACACAAAGGACGTGATTCTGTGAACTGACTGCCCTCTGCAGAGCTCTAATAACCAATCAGTTACATACTGGGGGCTAGCTGTTTAAAATCTTGCCAGCAGTTTGGGGCTAGATCCTGAAAAGGGACTCACCATAGTAGTGCTTAACTTTTAGGTGTCCAGCTGCCGAGTGGAACCCACAGCCCTGAGTTAGGTGCCCAGGCTCCCTATCCATGCCTGGGGAGTGTGAGATGCCTCAGAATGCGATTCATAAAAGCCAACATGCAGAGCAGGGAGCTACCTAAGTTAACCAATAGGAAAATCCCAGGAGAGGGGTGCAGCTTAGGTCCCACCCCTCAAAGGGAGATAGATGCCCAATGGGAGGCATCTCCCTCCATTTGGGATTGACTGCTGTGAACGCTATCCTGGAGTTAGGCGTGTCAGTCAGGGCAGCCCTTTCTTTCCAAAACCAAAAGCCAAGAAGATAGCACCCACATCCAGGGTGTAGGAGGCCAGAGTTCAGTTCCCCCTCTGCCTGATGTGAAACAGTGATTGGAACCCAGGTCTCTTACCTTGCAGGTAAGTGCATGAACCACTGGGCAGGAGGTACCGTGGGGTCAGGCTCTCTCTGTCTTGACTGTTACCATGGCTCCACTGTGTATAAAACTCTGAAACATTCATTGGGCCAGAGAGAAAATGATGCTCCAGCCTGCTGGTTAGGGCATGTTCCAATCCCCCATTCCAATAACTATTTAATTATTTATACAAAGAGGATCATGGGAGACCCAGGTTCAATTCCCTTCTCTGCCTGATGTGGTGAAGGGGTTTGAACTTGGGTTTCCTGCCTCTGTGGTGAGTACCCTACTGAGATGGGTTTTCCAGGGTGCACCCTGGCCAGTGGCATCACTGAGTCGTCTGTCCCACCAATCTGGGCTCCCTGTCACACTGTGATACTCTTGGCAAGCTATAAACCTCTGGCAGGTACTGCATTTATGCAGACATCCAGAGGCACGGACACACCCAACTGAGTTACATGAATGCTCCCAGCCACTCATGAACCAACAATAGAGACACTTCAGCCAGTCCCCCCCAGTTCCCCAGCATTGCACCCCAGAATTGGTCTGAATCGTCTGGTTAGAAACGTTACCAGTGTAAGTTCATTTCCCAGTCTGCCGCTCCCTCGATGTGGAGAAGACACACACTAGCCTTTGTAAACTAAACTGAAATTTCCAAGCACTTCAACCAAAACGCACTGTTTTAGGTAAAATATAAAACAGATTTATTAACTACAGTAAGGTAGATTTTAAATGCTTATAGGTAGTAAGCATATAGATCAAAGTTGGTTCCCCAAGAAATAAAAGTAGATTTGCAATCTGAGTTCTATAAACCAAATAGGATTTGAATCAAACAGTGTCTTACCCTGATGGATGGATGGTACAAACCTCAGTACACCGGCTAGGACTACCCTCCCCAGTTCAAAGTCTTTATCCTCTAGAAGTTTCTTCCAGGTGTTGAGTTGTGGCGGGAGTGAGACCAAGCCATGATGTCACTTCCCCTCATTATAGTTTCTTCCAACTTGCTGGAAAGATCTTTTGCTTGTGAAAGGGAATCCGAGTCCATTGGCCAAGCAGTCTCCATTGTCTACGTGCTCTCTCTAAGAAGTCTTCTGAGATGGTCGGTGGGAGAGTGGATTCCCTTCAATGGGTCATCAGCACATCTGGCTACTCCATTGTTGTATCTGAAAGGCTGGTTGTGGGTCATCCCAACCTCACAAAATATTTCAATAACATACACATAGCAAAACTTCATAACTTTAGATACAATGATAGCACACACAATCCAACAGGCTATTGATGGTCCACAGATCAAGACTTTTTAAATTGTACTTCAGAAGGCATGCTTTGTACAAAACATATAATCATATCACCATTGTGAATATGGGGGTGCCAGGGTGCCATTCTGAAATTCAGAGCGCCACACCTACCCACTAGCCTATAACATCATATGTGCTCACTCTCTTTAAATTAAAGTGCATATTTATTTTTTTATAAACTGTGGACCAGCTTTTTATAAACTGTGGGTGGGAGGGATAACTCAGTGGTTTTGAGCATTGGCCTGCTAAACCCAGGGTTATGAGTTCAATCCTTGAGGGGGGCCATTTAGGAATCTGGGGCAAAAGTCTGTCTGGGGATTGGTCCTGCTTTGAGTAGGGGGTTGGACTAGATGACCTCCTGAGGTCCCTTTCAACCCTCATATTCTATGATTCAACAGGAGAAATTAAGAGACTTCCACTGCATGCATCTGATGAAGTGGGCTTTAGCCCACAAAAGCTTATGCTCAAATAAATTTGTTAGTCTCTAAGGTGCCACAGATAATCATTCTTTTTGCTGATACAGACAGACTAACACAGCTACCACTCTTAAACCTTTCATAGCAAAGTATCCCATAGCTAGTAGTTAGGACACGCACCTAAGAGATGGGAGACTCAATGTCACATCCAGTCTCCACCTCAAGCAGAGAGGGGCATTAAGCCTGGGCTTCTCATATCCTTAACCATTAGACTAAGGTGTTGGGGGTCTAGGTCTAGCTCCTCATCTGCCCGCTTCCCTCCCCAACGCCACAGCCATTTGGTGTTGGGTTAGGTGTGCTATAGGCATGCCTACCAGAACAGGCCCTCCAGGTGAGCTAGGTGGGACAACATCCAGTTTGAAGATCTCGCTGGGGTTTAGGTGTGAGATAGCTGCACTTTTGCTGAGCCTGAAGCAGCTTTGCACATGGTCAATGGCAGAAATGTAGGCACCTAGGGGACTTAAGTGTAGAGATTTAGAAGCCTAGGGATGTTAGACACCTCCAAGATTAGAAGGCAGCTGAGCAGGGTTATTGAAGATCACAATAAGGTGAGGTGGTTATGTCACTGTCCCTTATTTTATACTTTCCTCGATGCTGGAAAAATCCTTGCTGTGTCATGGTGGTTAGGCAGCCCCGTGGTGTACATGCATGAGTAACTGACTTTCATGTGAATTGCAAATCGCTTGTTTAAAACTCCCTTGCTGGTGAATGACCGATGGTGGTTGCTTAACACCTGGTTGGGTGTTGGTCACTCCTTTGTTGCCAGAGAAAAGCTAGTCTGCATGTTTTCCAGCTCGCAACATGTTTCAGTGACAAACATATAACAAAAATCTCATAACTTCATATACACTAATGATCCCTGCATTTCAACAGGCTAGTAATGTCCAATAGATTATGACTTTTCCAATGATATTTCACAAGGCATATTTTTGTTACAAAATATCATAACCATATACAAGTGGTGCATATGGGGTTACAGGTTGTTATTTTGAGGTACAGTGTGTCACAGTTCCATTATGTTTTCTGACTCAGCTGGCCGGTCCCCACCCATTGTATTTCAGCACTGCAGAACCTTTAGTGGGGGGAACTGAAAAGTGAACTGATTTAGGCTTTTTTTGACCCGATACTTGTCACCATAAGCCTTACCCTTAAACTACATTTTGTGTGCGTTCTTGTGAATCGAAGGGGCATTTTCTCCTCTTATTTCATATGCCTTTGAGCTCCCACTGGTTCATTCAGAGTTGCAGGCGATAGGCAAGGTTAATTAAACAGAGCAGGAACAAGTAGGTGCAGTGCCTGGCTGGGAACACTAGAGGGAGCTTGCATGAAGAAAAATGAGCAGATGGCAAGAGCTGTTGAACTAAGTTAAATAAAGAATCTAGTTTACTTTTATTGACTGCTTTCTTATTTGCATTAAACTGCATATGTGTATGGTTTGAGAGCTGTATATGGCCCTTAGTTCTATGGCGAAGATGGCCAAAAGAGTTAGATACCCAGATCCCGCTGATTTCCAGAGGGCATGGGATGTCTAACTGCCCTTTGTGCCTGTCAAAATCTCCCCTTACATTATGAAATCATTCCCTGACAAAACTAGGGCTGCTTTTTAAAACGATGTGCTTTGCTCTACATGCTATAGGTAAGTAGCGTAGGCCAGATCCTCTGTTGGTGTAAATCGGCATAGTTCCATTGAAGACAGTGAAGGCATTGCCGATTTACACCAGCAGGGAATCTGGCCAATAGTACACAGCCTCTGCGCTATATTGATTTAAATGGTATTTTATGTTCCCATTTCAATGTGAGGCAAATTGTCCTACTTGTTTAAGATACTCTGGGGGAAATCTGACTCATGCAAATTCTCTCTGCCAGGTTAAATTCTGCCATAATTGGAACCCCAGTTGCCCTCTTCACACAGAGCTACAGACCCTGCCACACTACAACCTGGAGGAGGCGAGGTAAACGTCTGTTATTCTTTTCTTGTTTGAGTAAATGAGGAACATTTGCATTTTAAACCATTTTTCATTTGTCTTCAGCATGGACCCCATTGTTGGGGCCTAAATCAGAACCTATTGAAGTCAATGGGAGACTTTCAGTTTACATCAGTTGGCTTCAGATCTGGCCCTTGAAGGCTGGATCCCCTAACCCAGTGGTTCCCAAACATGTTCCGCTGCTTGTGCAT